TCCCATTTGGGAAAAAAAAGTGTTTAATTTTGATTTTTTAATTTATATAGGTATTTAATGGCTAAATTATGCTAAATCTAGTAATAAATATGGTACCTGATATTTTCAAAGTGTAATAAAATCAAAACTAGACGGTAAATTAAAGTATTTCATATTTTACAAGATCAACCAATATACTTCTTTAAAAATTTAGGGAAACTTTGAAGAAAACAGGCACTCATTTGGGTAGATTTTAAGGATTTTTTTTAAATTAGGCTCCCTAAGTAGGAAAATGGTCAGACACGTGATAAAAATGGGTGGGGTAGGGTAACATTTTTATACAGATTTCATAAATTTTAAGTAGAAACCATAATTTTGCTTATGTGGATTGTTAGCTGAATGGTACTATTTGTTTCTTACCTAAAATTAATGGGAAAACATTTTTCATTTGAATGTTATTGCAGATTATTTAAAGGTTTCTCATTTCTAAAAAAGGGCCCTCATAACATCCTAGCTTGAGTTCAGAAAAGTGGCCATAACTTGATTTCCGTACGGTAAACTTTGTTTAAATTTTGCATACAGGTGTACTTTAAGGTATATATCTGACCTATGATGTCAATTTTTTAGTTCCTTATAGTGCCCATTAGGGTGGTAATACCTTAATTTTTTTTTTTACTATTAAAGTACTTGAAAAGGAGCTAGAATGTTGGAAACACTCGTTGTATATAGCCCGAGATCTCATAAATATTACAAACTTACCAGCTGGGCTCTTATCTAAATGTAATTTTAGAAGTTATCACTTATTGTATATATTCATGGTATTATTTATATAGTTACAGTGATGGTTTATAACTATATATTGTTTACTACAAAGAAATTTTTCTTGTTCTCTATGAACGTTTTTATTTGATACAAATATTCTTTGACACCATCTCTAAACTGAATTTCAATTCTATTTAACCGAGACAAAATAAAGAGCTAAGATATTTATTCGGTCATTATTTTGTATCAACTAAAAATACTAATTCAAACTGACTGTTTTTCTCACATCTCTTTCTTTCTAGCTTTCCCTGGTTCGCATGTATATTTATGATGTTGGAAGTTATGTATCATCAGTATAATTATGTAGATAAAGTTTTTCTTACATTTTTGCTATTTTTAGTGCAGACTTCACGCATTTTAAAAACTAAAACAAGAAATCATAATCAACAACAAAAACAACATGAACAAATATTATATATTTGTACGAGTATGCTAAGTATTTTAAATAAATAAACCTAGACAAAAAAGGTTGATAATAATCAATAAAGACATTTTAAATTTAACAATCTCCTAGTGTAAATGAGACTGACATAAATATGCCCTTTTTGGCAAATACTATTAAGATGGTTTTTGTTTTGAGTGAAATATGGAATATTTTTTCACGAAATATGATATAATTCCACTCATTTTCACGAGCCGGAACCATCGTGTAAAAACAATAAAAGTTGTTTACAAAAACGCTCTCGTTATTTGATAGTGACACTATCATAAAACCTTTAAAGGTGAAGATATATGGTAAATGCGAACACACAATATAAATCACAATCAAATCTTTCTGGAATATGCTTTCTAGTAGGTTAGATCTATTTTCAGGTTATATCATAGCTCAATACCTCGACACGTAGCTTGTTAAATGAAAACAGGTTATGTGTGAAATTGGCAAGGAGGCATGAGTGATGGTTATAGATTTTAAAACCGAATACACCATGTATATCCAGTAACGCAGGAATGGGCAAATAACGCAGGAATTGTGCAAAAGTAACGCAAAATTGTGCAATTTAGTGGTTAAAACGAGCACAGCGATAAGTAATTTGACCAATATTTTTTATTGTACACCAAATTGGAAGAAATGAGTTAGCACATACGATTACTGAGACATTATTCTTTAAACCTCATCAAAAATGTTTCCATGATAATGTTTATTTTTTAAGATCATTCGTGCAAATGACGACCTGACTAGCGTATTGATGGCGATTTTTAGTTTCGTTGATATCTTTAAGTACAATAACGTACATACAAAAAAAATTGCAGATAAACCGTAATTTTTACGAGGTAACGCCGAATTCGTGAATGAAGCACTGAAGCAACAGCGGTGATCTCATTAAAAGTAGCTAAATCCTATTTTACCAGCTTCCTTTTATTGTTATACGACACTTGTAGTTTGACAAAATTTAATGTCTTGGGTATACAGAATATGAAAAAATAAAGTTTTATATATGTTAAATGTACATATTTATCTGACGAAACACGAAAGACACCTTCAAAACAGTAACCAAGTTGTCTTTTTCACGAATGGTCTAAGAAAGTAAACAAATTCCTGAAAAAAATGAAATAATGGTTAAAGTATAATGTAGTAGCAGCTGTAGGCGCTAATTCATTTCTTTAAATTTGATTAAGAATAAAATACATGTATGTTGGTTCGTTTACTTACTGTGTTATTCGTTTTGGCAATAGCTTTGCACAGATTCGGCGTAACTTTTACGATAATTGCACATTCCTGCGTTACTGGATATGCACGATGAAATAAGAAAACATATTTTCATGTAATTTTGCTGTTTTAATGCTTCCGAGGGATCACTTTTTTTTCAAGATATTTATACATCACAACAGCAGGTGTCAAGTGCTGTGTGGCAGCCGTAAAAAGGCACACCGTACTTCACCTTAAGTGTTGTTACATTTTACTGGTCATTCGGATTATCGAGTCTAGCACTTTGCAGTATTGAGAACCGCTCAAGCCGGTGCTAGGGGTCTTGGGAGATGTTGCAAATTTTCATTATCCCTCATGTAAAGACAAACCGAGTCTAACATAATGACAAGACATAACCATCAATGTACTATTCTGACATTCAATTATAACCTTCACCTTTTAAACTCTTGTCCTGGTGTTTAGGTGTGACGAGTTTCCCTAATGTATCACAGACGTATGCCTAGTTATTTCAAAATCAATTCATGGATGAGAGAATTGATGACTGGATATAATCATTGATGTACTTGTCTTTCAGAAATCGTAGAAGCAACCTTTCTTACAACTTTCTATTATATTTGGCATGAAAATATTACCTATAGTGTTAACCAGGTTTTTTTTCCAAATTTGGGCTTGTGACCTTGTTTTTCACCTAAGATGACCCATATTCAAACTTGAGCTAGAAAATTGAACTCACTGACCAATTTCAAGCATATTTTGACTGAAACAAAAGCCTAAAGAGTGTAAACAAGATTATTCTATACTTTGGCTGTGCGACATATTTTGACCCAAGTTGAGCCATATTCGAACTTGGCCTAGCTAGATCATCTAAATAACCCATCTGACAAATTTTCAGGATATTTGAGCTGACAATGTTTCCTCCAGAGAGCTAACACAGTTTTTCCATCTTTGGCTGTGTCCTAGTTTTTGACCTAGAAATCATTAAAACCTTTCGAACCAATTTCCATATTTAGACTGAAACATTAGCCTCTAAACTGTTAAAGGGAGACACAGGCACAATTTTCATTTCTTCGTTTTGAATTTATCATTCATTATTCTGATTGGTCAGGTTAGAGCATAAAGATATCACAATAATTGTCACAGTAAACTCTGTGGGGCATCCATGGCTGAGTGGTTAAGGTCGTTGACTTCAAACCACTTGCCCCTCACCGCTGTGGGTTCATATCCCGGCACAAGGAACTTTGGATTCTTTCATGTGAGGAAGCTATCCAGCTAGCTTATCGAACGTCGGTGGTTCTGAAATAATGCACGGAAGGGCACCGGAGGTCTTCCTCCACCAGTAAAGCTGGAACGTCGCGATATGGCCTACACTGTGTCCATGTGACGTAAAACCCAAAACAAACAAACAGTAAACTCTGGAAAAGTTTAAAGACATATCAAATGAATGGTTTAGGTTTGTTTCATCATATAATATCCACAATATATGTTATTAATATAAATTCCAGAGTTTGTTCAGGTCACATGACTAGTTTTAAAAATACTCGGTGATCTTGTCTGGGTCTTAATTTCGTTCAACATATATAGATATATTTACACTTTAAACCCAAAATATATAAAATTTAAACAGAAATTCATGCTGGGACTTTTACCATAAGATAATTTTGATATTTTTGTCATTTATTTGCCCGATTATTCCATATTTGGGCTTGTGACCTAGTTTTTGACCCCAAATGACCTTTATGTCATATTCTTACTTGAGCTGGAATTCATTCAAGTTTTGACCTCCAGGGGAATGAATAATATATAACTTTTGTTTTGAGGACCACAAGGTGATGTTCCATGCCACATATCTAAACTCTTGACATTGTACACATTTACTTTCTGAGAAGATTTTCAGCATTTTTACTACGCAAGTCTATGTAAACTTAGTGATCCCCAGGATTGGGCCATTTTTTACTCAAGGAGCTTGACTTATATAACTTTTGTTGTGGTCTACTAGCCAATGCTACAATCCAAATATTTAAGCACTTGACATGTAGATTCAATAAAGATGACTTAAATGTTGTTTCCTGTACAACTCTTTATAAATTAAGTGATCCTTAGGGACTCAAAGACTTAAATGTATTATCCACGTATATATATAAGCCTTTGTAACTAAGTGACCCCTAAGTGGGGCCATTTTTTTCACCCCAGGGGAATGATTTATATATCTTTTGACTGTATAGGACCACAAAGAGTTGCAACATGCCAAAATCTAAAAATAATAGTTTCTTAAGTTATAAGATGTTTAAAAAATTCCATTTTTTAGACTTTTTTTAGTTCCTGTGACCTATGTATGTATTACACATGGATTATTTATAAAATTTTGTAGATGACCACCTAAGGATCATTCAGGTAAATGTTAGTCAAAATCCATCAAGCCATTTAGGAGGTTTGGGAGATGTTGTTAAGAAATTGTGGACAACGACAAACAATGATCGCCGGACATACTGCCATCGCAAAAGCTAACCTCTGATCACTTTGTGCTCAGGTGATGTAAATAGTACTAAACATATTAAACTTTATTGTTTATTTCAAGGTCCTTTTAAGGATAATTAATAAATCCACTTTATTTCAACTAATTTCAGCAAAAAAAAAAGTTCACTACTTTCACTTGAGATTCAATAACATGATGCCAGTTTTTACATTATGGAATGTTGTAGTTTTGTTTACATCACTTAATCCATTATTGTCAGAAGATCTTCCTCAAAGAGAGCTATAGTCAGCATAATCCCTGCTCCAGTACACATGCCTACGCCCTGTAGAAGAAGATGACATAATGGATGCTCTCCCTTCTTTGTGTCCACTGACGACAACTCTGGTAACTATAGAAATAAAGGATATTATTAAACCTTTGTGACTTCCTTCAAAGAAACAAGAGGGCCACGATGGCCCTGAAATCGCTCACCTGAATATAGAAATCTCCATGATTAAGAACAAGTAATATTGTAAACTATAAACAGAAGCAGTTATGAAATCTAGATCTTAAACTGATGTCACAAAAGTCATAATTATTTGTATCTGAAATAGTGCATGTGTAAAAACAATACTGGTTGCCAATTTAGACCCCAGGGGTTTGATTTGAAGAAACTTGGTAGACACTCATTACAAGATGTTTCATGCTAAATATCTAAGCTCTAGCTATTTGGGTTTTTTAAAAGAAGATTTTTTAAGTTTTTATTATATATATAAATAAGGAAAATCAATGATCCCCCAGAGCTGGGCCAATTTTGACCCAAGGGCTTTTATTTGAGCAAACTTTGTAGACACTCACTAGAAGATGTTTCATGCTTAATATCTAAGTTCTAGCTATTTGTGTTTTTTAAAAGAAGATTTTTTCAGTTTTTATTATATACATATAAGGAAAACCAATGACCCCAGGGGGTGGGGCAAATTTTGTCCCCAAGGCTTTTATTTGAACAAACTTGTTAGACATTCACTAGAAGATGTTCCCCTTAAAAAAATATTTGAACAAATTTGGTAGACACTTACTAGAAGATGTTTTATGCTAAATATCTAAGCTCTAGCTTGTTGGAGTTTTTAAAAGAAGATCTCTTTTTCTTACTTTTTACATATAAGTATAATCAATGAACCCCTGGGGTAGGGCCAATTTTGACCCCAGGGCTTTTATTTGAACAAACTTGATAGACACCCATTAGAAGATGTTTCATGCTAAATATCTAAGCTCTAGCTCTTTGGGTTTTTTTAATTACTGTGCAGGGATTGGTTTCAGAGGAGATGTGGTTTAGAGTAATTGTTGATGATGCACGCCGCACAACAACGGACAGGGGGGGGGGGGAATCACAATAGCTCACCATGAGCATGTTGTGCTCAGATAAGCTAAAAATATTGTGTCGCATTTTCATATTATAAAGGGAAAGTAAAAATTCTGATACCATATCCACAAGAGCGATGTATAGGAACATTCCTCCAACCAAAGTGAATACCCATAGAGTGGCTCCTTCTTGGTTACCAACAGCCACACCAATCAACATACCAACAAAACACAAGATGGATGAGAGACAGTTGTAAATAATAGCTTGCTTTGGTGACATACCAGCTCTCAATAACATTGCAAAATCACCTGAAATAAAGACATTTCCTTAAAAGCTTGCACAAGACCATAATATATTTTCTTAAAGGGACTCCACTGAGGTTTAAAAGTCTTAAAAACATAACATTTGAATTTCTTACATAAATGGGCTGGGGCATTTTAAACAGAAATATATGCAAAGATAGTTAAGAAATATACTTTGAAATAAATTGAAAATCGTATTTTTATACTTTCTTATCCCGATGTGAGTGAAAAGTGTCTAAATGCTTTTCATTTTGGGTCACTTTTTACATTTTGAATAATTATTCTGGAAAAAACGAAGTGTGCGAATGATCTGAAATTTTGCACAAAGATAAGTGGTCTAACCCTACATCAAATGGTACATTTATCTGGGAAAAATATTTTCAGTCCCATCATGTCAAAAAACCTCAGTGGAGTCCCTTTAATAATTGAAACTCATTAAAGACATAAATGTAATAAACAAAGTTTGTTTATGTTGTTCTTACAATTGTATGTTTTTTTTAAACATTGTTTATCACTTATCAGTTCTCACACAAAGATCTTTCTGTTGAGAAAACAAATTCACTTATAAGTTCAGTAAACTTCTATATTCTACACTCTTTCCCACCTGCATAATGAGTATCAGTGGAAACAAGCAACTATCATAGTAAAGCAAACAATCCATAAGTCCCCTACCAATTAGAACCCAGCAACATTCTGAAGGGACATTGGTCATTGAATTATGGCACTGAATGAATGAAAGACATGAATAAACTTAAATCTTTTGAGTTCTTAGTTTGTCTGTATCATAGTAATGTGTTAAGTTTCCCTAATTATGTTTATAGAACAGATAATCAAAAGATCCAATTTTCTCAGGATGAATATGTATAAATTAACTATTGTTTCAACTTTTCTCTACTTTCAGTAAATCTGTTGGAAAAAGTACAATGTCTTTAAAAGTGATCTCAGGAAACAGTTTTTAGAAATGGACAGACAGACCAACATACAGAGACTCTGAGGGTAAATCTTTAAACATCCCTGGTTGTTAGCAGAATATAACATTTCTAAAAATAGTCGTTAACACTATCTCAATTCATTTAGAAGTTGCATCACTTTGAAATCAGTTTTGATTGAAAAGAAAACTATGCAAAATAGTGATTTTTGGCAATTTTGAGATGTCCCCACGTTGCCATGGTAACAGGAAATTTAAGATTGAGCATGCTGTTACAGAGGTTATGGTTCAGTCAACATTTGTGGGTGTTCAATCTTTCAAAAGGGGGTTAATATATCCCCATATCATGTAAGGGTTTGAAATAAGCGACCTCGACTATTCTAAGAAATTTAGACATTTTGTGACAAAAACATACTCATTACTTCCCTAAAATAGGTTGGAAAGAGCAAAGAAAAAGGACCTAAATTTTGCATGCGACACTCCCCCTCACAATAGTGAACATTTGTGCCAAGTAATATTGAAATCCCTCTATACATGTAGAATTTTTGCTCCAAACAACGTTTTTTATGACCACTGTGACCTTGAGACCTGCTTCATGCCCACGACATGGCCTCTCATAGTGGTGAACATTTGTATGAAGTTTCAACATTTTGAGGCGTTTGCATCCCTGTGGTTTAGTTTTTATGTGAAAGCTGGTATCTCTATCAGGGAATGGATTGAAACTTTACACAACCACCAGGGGTGAAACTATAATATGACCTGTTTTTCAAGTGATCAATCTCATATTACATTATCCCTTGCACAATGAAGGTAAGTTAATCTGTTTATTAATATGCAAACGATATTTACTTATCTATGTAACTGTATTATGGATTAAGATTAGAATACCTATTTCATGTGGCAGCTCATGACAAAATACAGCAACAGAGGTGCTAAATCCACCAGTGATACTGTTAGTAAATGCAGCCCCAATAGCCAGACCATCACAAAAATTATGTATCCCATCCCCAAGGATGACCATCCAAGCTACTGAAGCAACAGAGTTTGGTATAGCATCTATCCCATGAGAATGTCCATGCCCATGGTGTTTTGGTGAAGCCATAACAATAACAGAATTGTTAATCATTGAAGATGTTTCATCGCCATCAACACATGTCTCTACACAGTCTGGTTTCCTCTGACCATGTTCATGACTGACAGATGCTGTGTTTTCAAAACTGATGGTGCAATGCTCTGTATGAACTTCATCCGCATATGCCCCAAGAGCTAAAAAACAAAACAGGACTCGATTGTGAAATGCAATGCACTTTAGTAGGAACAAAGGATATATAATCTAACAATAATAAATTTCAAATACAAGATGGCCATGATGACCCTAAAATCGCTCATTTGAATATAATATTCTCCAGGAAATTTAGGACAAGTAAACTAACAAGAGCCACTGCCGGGTGGGGTCAATGCTCGACTTTTGACTCTCTGAAAGTAAACAAAGAAACGTCTGAACTAATCTTAACGTTTCCTTTTATAACTTTAATAGGTCTTGTCACACTAGTTTTGTCAAAGTGTGAATCCTTTCCATAAATAAATGACAATAGAATGAAAATAATAAAATTTAGAAGAAAGAAAAATATTATATATACAGGGCTCATCCTGGGGGGATGTATATATTATATATGGATTACAGAAGGAAAAAAAACAACAAGAAATCAAGAAATGTCCAATGACACATATGCCCCCTTTCTAGCCCTTGACTCACGTTATTGGTAGTTTTGTTTTAGAAACTTGCCATAAATGGGTACATTGAAGTATTAAATTACGAAAGAATAAATATATAAATATGATGAAGACTTTGTGATCAATAGTTTTCAAGATAATGAGCGGACCATTCTGACATTAAAAGCCCCTGTGACCTTGACCTTTGAACTAGTGACCCAAAATCAATAGTTATGACCAATCAATAGTAGAACTAAAACTATCACTAAATGTGATTATACCCCCCCCCCTGACTGCTTCGGAAATGAGGAAGTTACTAGTAACAGAATACTTTGTAAAAGAATTGAAATAGAGTTATGGTTGTGGTAAATTAAAGATAGTTGTGGTTCTTGTATGTTGCATTTTCTTTCAATGTGGTTGACCATTCTCTCATTGCCCTTGACCATTGTATGAAGTTTTATTTAATTCCTATTGACTATTAATTAACTACTAGTTTTCAAGTTATGCTCTGGACAAAAAAGTAACAAAGGACAATAACTGTAATTAGTCCAAATAAAGTTATGGTTCTTGTGCACTGCACTTCATCTCACTGCCCATGACCATTGTACCAACCATTAATTTTCAAGATATGCATTAGACAATAAAAAGTAATACAGGGCAAAACTTTCAAATGAATCAAGAAAGAGTTATGGTTTCAGTGCACTGTGCTTCCTCTCAATATACTTGACCATTGAATGGAATTGTATTGGTGTCCAACAAGTAGTTTTCAAGTTATGCTCTGGACAAGAAAAAAGCAATGGAAAAGTAACAAAGGGCAATAACTGATTAAACTCTATAATTACTCTGGACAGACTTATGGTTCTTGTGCACTGCACTTCCTCTTATTGTGCTTGACCATAATGGCATTTTATAAAGTTGTTTTGAATTTCAACCACTACTTTTCAAGTCATGCAAAAGGATCAAAGGGCAATAACTCTGTAATTGTCAAAATGAAGTTATGGGTATTGTGCACTGCACTTCCTCTCAATGTGTTTGACCATTGTATGAAGTTATATTGAATTCCAACCATAAGTCTTCAAATTATGGTCCGGACAAAAGAAAGCAATGGAAAAGTAACAAAGGGCAATAATTCTGTAATTGATGAAGATGGAGTTATGGTTCTCATGCACTGCACTTCTTCTTATTGTGCTTGACCATTGTATGAAGTTGTTTTGAATTCCAACCAGTAGTTTTTAAGGTATGCTCCAGACCAGGAAAATGCAACGGACTGCTGAACCGACCTACCGACCTGGGTAAGACTCCTATTTACCCCCCAAAACTTCATTTCGGGGGTATAAATATGAAGACTTTGTGATAAATAGCTTTCAAAATAATAAGCGGAAACCATACTAACATTCAAGAACACTGTGACCTTGACCTTTGACCAAGTGACCCCAAAATCAACAAGAGGGACAAGATGGCCCTAGATTGCTCACCTGAACCATCAAACTACCTAGACAAGCATCCTGACCAAGTTTGATGGTAAATGAGTAAAAAATATGACCACTTGAGTGTTAACAAGGTTTTTCTATATTTAGCTCCTGTGACCTAGTTTTTCAGGCGAGATGACCCATGTTCAAACTCATCCGAGCAATTACCTAGGCAAGCGTCCTGACCAAGTTGGATGATTATTGTGTCAAAAATGTGACAAGTGTGGACGGAAGACAGAGTGTATTCAATGATCCTAAAAGCTCACCCTGAGCTAGCTCTGGTGAGCTTATAAGGGTCACTTACTAGTTATGACCAATCAGTATGTGAAGTATGAAGACTTTGTGATAAATAGTTTTCAAATAATAAGCAGAAATCATTTTGACATTTTAGGAAATTAAGGCCCCTGTGAATGGTAAAATTGCGACTAAGTTTAATCTGGAAAATTACAAAAATAATTTCAAGGTTGTGAACTTTATAACTTATAAAGTATTAAGATGGAGGTTACCTTTGTTTGGGTGGATACTCATCACGATTCCATCACATTCACTATCTGCAAGTTTTTCTCCAACCTTCAACATTTCCTCATCTTTCAAACATTTTTTTCTACGATTTCTTTTTTGCTAAAAATTAAATTAGATTACTATTTATAAATGATGTTCTTTTTATTTAAACATAATTATATAAATACATCAAAACAAGAAATTGTGTCATTAGGACACTTTTGCCTCAATTTGTTAAGGTGGGACACTATTATGCCCCAATGAAATTTTGTTTCAACTAGAAATGTGTCCATAGGACATGGGTGCCCTGACACTCCACTGATTTGTCAAACTTAAGGCTCTAGGTCAGATATTTTTTGGGCTACACATGACACAAGTTGAAAAGTAAAATATTTTTACTAAGTCAAGGGCAATAACTTTACAAATATTGAATAAATCCACAAGCAAACCCAAAGGTGCAAAAGTACACAGGCTGACATTGAACAAGTTGAAAATTGCAAATTTATACTAAGTCAAGGGCAATAACTCTAACAAGAAGGCCCAGAGGGCCCTGTATTGTTCACCTGAGAAATATGTCAAAAGGTCAAAGTGTAGCTCCTTTTCACCCCAGAAGCACAATTTGCAAACAAGAGCCATGTCAACATGGCCATCCCCCGCCGAATGTGTTTGCTCATATGAAGAATGTATATGTAGTAGAGCGGAATAATTCCATTTTAAGAGGTCTTTTGGTAATGAAAACTGACGGCTATAGTGATTACAGATTTGAAACCTATGTGAATACTGATGGCTGAAAATAACAAAGGGCAATTACTGAAAAATAATGCAGGGTAGGTTATCATTCTTGTGTGCTGCATCCCTCCTCAGTAAAATCTATCCACCTTTGAAGTTTCAAGTTGATACCTCAAATACTTTTTGAGAAAAAAATTGAATTGAAAAATTAAGTATGAAAAAGAACAAAGGGCAATAACACAACAATTATTAAAGGTAGAGTTATCATTCTTGTGCAGTGCACACCTCCTGAGTGAGATCTACGCACCTATGAAGTTTCATTTTGATATCTCAAAGGCTTTTTGAGTTATGCTCTGGACAAAAATTAATTTTGAAAAACAACAAAGGGCAATAACTCAAAAATAATGCAGGGTAGAGTTATCATTCTTAAGCACTGCACTCCTCCTCAATGAGATCCATCCATCTTTGAAGTTTCAAGTTGATACCTCAAATACTTTTTCAGATAAGCTCTGGACAAAATAGCATGAAAAAAAACAAAGGGCAATAACTCAAAAATTGTATAGGGAAGAATTATCATTCTTGCGCACAACATTCCTCCTCAATAAGATCTATCCACCTATGACATTTCATGTTGATATCTCAAACACTTTTTGAGTTATGCTCCACTCAGGTGAAAAATTAGGTATGAAAAATAACAAAGGGCAATAACTCAAAAATTATACAAGGTAGAGTTATCATTCTTGTGCACTGCACACCTCCTGAGTGAGATCTATGCACCTATGAAGTTTCATGTTAATATCTCATAGGCTTTTGGAGTAATGCTCTGGACAAAAATCAATTTTGAAAAATAACAAAGGGCAATAACTAAAAAATCATGCAAGGTAGAGTTATCATTCTTGTGCACTGCACTCCTCCTCGATGAGGTCTATCCACCTATGAAGTTTCAAGTTGATAACTCAAATACTTTTAGAGATATGCTCCGGACAAAAATGTCGGACGGAAGGTCGGACGGACGGAGACTATTTCTATATCCTCCGCCGAAATTTTTCGGCGGGGGATAACAAGAAACAGCTAAATTTGAAAAAAATGTGCACACTGTCACCAGGAAATTTTTGTGTAAAATTATTTCAAATTGAACCAGTGGTTAAGATGTTGTTTAAATGTTGTTGTTTTCTAATTTTTAAATCTGGCAGCCATTTTATCAAACAGTTCAGCCTGTCACTAAGTGAGAGGTGAGCCAATAAAAAATGATAGAAAAGAGAGGGAAAACATTTAACCTAGCTGGGGATTAAACTGTCGACCTCAATTCCCCGGGCCAATTTTGACCCTAGGGGTTTTATTTCAACAAACATGGTAGACATACACTAGAACATGTTTCATGCCAAATATCTAAGCTTTAGGTCTTAATGATTTTCACAAGAAGATTTTTTTGAAGATTTTTTTTAAGTTTTTACTAAATAAACCTATATATAAGGAAAATCAATGACCCCTGGGGCAGGGCCAATTTTGACCATATGGCCTTTTTTAAAAAAAACTTCATGGGGGAGAATCATGTCGTTCGTTACCCAAACAAACAGATGGTTGATGCAGCCAAAAAGTAAGTTTTTCCTCTTTTTCTACAAAATTAGCGAAGTTCTAGTGTAAAGGTACATATATAAACCTCTTCCACAGTTTGCCAGGCACACATGATTTTATTTCATGATGTTTCATCCCATCTGAAATGTGCGTCACAAGATTCGAAGTGAGAGAATTTTCCACCAGTTTGATCGTGATAACTTATGTCCCTGGAAAAAGTTCAAAGTGCAATAATTCCAAAATTAGGCAAGGCAGAGTAACTGTTCTTTGCACTGCACTTCATGTGATCTATCAACCTACAAAGTTTTTTGTTGATAGCTCTTATGGTTTCCGAGTTATTCCCAGATAAAGTTCAATATGTAAAAATGAACAAAGGGCAATAACTACAAAATTTGGCAAGGCGGATTTCAAGTTCTTTTGCACTGCACATCCACCCATTGAGATCTATCTGCCTACAAAGTTTCATGTTGATATCTCTTGTAGTTTTAGAGTTATTTCCAGGACAAGATTTTTTAAAAGGGGAGATAATTCAAAAAATTGGGCAAATTAGAGTTCTGTTTTTTTTGTACTGCACTTTTACTCAATGAGATCTATCTACCAACAAAGTTTCATGTTGATATCTCTTATAATTTTAGAGTAATATCCCAGACACAGTTCAAAAAGTAAAAATAAACAAAGGGCAATAACTCCAAAATTAGGCAAGGCAGAGTTATGATTTTTCATGTACTGCACATCTACCCATAGAGATATATCTACCTACAAATTAAGTTTCATGTTGATATCTCTTACAGTTTTACAGCTACTCCTGGTCATGATTTTTCTAAAAGGGGAGGTAATTCAAAAATGAGAGTTATGGAAATAAACAACCCGTCTGTATTTACCTTTTTCTTCCTTTTAAAGTCTGTGAATATTGTAAGCAATCTCTCTGTAAAGAAAAAGAAATAAATTCCTAGAAGGCCACATAGACCTTTATAAATTGGTCCTGTATCATGAGAGTGACCTCCACCATGTGTGTGATCATGTCCATTGTGTCCACTAGCCATTGCCTGAAATAATAAAATTATAAAGCTATTATTTTTAATTATAAAATTATCATCATTTTCATAAAACTGTCTTTCATTCTGTTTGATCATTCCAACCACTCGGTACAGTTTTTTATAAAAGCATAAATTAATTTCACTTTATTTTTGTTTTGCTTTTCTGGCTTATGTCTATTTTAACACGTTTCTGGCCATATCTTGACAGTCAATCCACCGAACAGGTTTTCCTGGGTAGATTACCAGTAATTACAAATTTTTCCTTAAGTTACCAACCGCATAATCCTAATTTCTGAATCAGTGGTGAGACAAATAACCATTTGAGCTGCATCATGACAAAACCAACATAATGGGTTTGCGACCAGCATGGATCCAGACCAGCCTGCGCATCCTTGCAGTCTGATCAGGATCCATGCTGTTTGATACAAACCCTATACCAAGTACAAAAACTGATAGCGAACAGCATGGATCCTGATCAGACTGCGCAGGCTTGTCTGGATCCATGCTGGTCGCAAACCCATTATGTTGGTTTTGTCATGACGCGGCTCATTTAATTCAACCTCCAAGATCAATGGAGAACTTAAGCATCATCTGAAAATCCAAACCAGCTACCTCTTGATTACTAATCAGATGCTCTCCCTATTGAGCTATGCTGGAAAACTTTTACTGTGTTTGGAGGATGTGTTTGTTAAAAACAAATGCCCCCCGACTCTTATTCTTGTCAGTAACAATATTTCAAACAAGATATGTTTGTAAAACATGTATGCCCCCTATCGGCAGCCAATCAGTCATGTGATCAGGTTTTGACCTAGTGACCAAAAAATCAATAATCAAAGTATGCTTGGTTATCTGGATATGACAATGTTTTTTTATCAAACTACAGTAAACTCTGCTTATAACGAACTCATTGGGACATTTAAAATCTGTTCCTTATATCCGGAGTTCCTTGTAGGCATATAGCGAATTAGTTCCTTATATCAGGAGTTTTTATAGCGAACAGATTTACATAAATAAACGAACTGATTGTTTACCATCGTCCTCCATTTTGAAGAGCATTTGTTTAAGAAAAATTAGCCATTTATTTCTTTTTTAGACACGATACCCAAGAGCGTATTTTTTTGGAATTTAAAAATCCGTTTTAGTTCACTCTCTTTCTCAATTTCTCATAAAAATACATTATTTTGTTTCTAAACTCACGGGGGGGAATCACGTGACTTTGTATAGTAATACCCACGAGAAAATGGCGACTGCTGAGCCCCGGTAAGTACCTTATTATGTTAAATTAAGGTGACAAACGTTTCTTAAATCAAAACAAAACCTAGGGTATCATATGCTCGTTAATTTTCTTCAAATGACAATACAAAGTGCATTATCCTACGTTTTGTGGTTTTTGAGAACATTGTTTGAATTGTGTGAAAATTGCACATTTAGCGATAGTAATTCGCATGAAGCGATATAATTTGGTACCAAAATAAATGAAAATAAACTTACTTTCTGCACTTAAGACACAAAATCAATCATTTTATTGACATCTGTTATCGTAGAAGTTCATATAAAATATATTTTCGAAGGTCTGTATCCTACAAATGTTCTTTGCAAATGTATAGTAAGTAAAACGAACAATTTCTGGATAGTAAGTTACACGAAAACAAAATAGTAAGTTTCACGCACAGTTTCCATTAGCATACATATACATTAAAAGAAAGTTAAAGTTCATATGTTAAGAGATAGAAAATACTTATTTCAATTATTCAAGATCAAATATTTCACTTTTTTCAAGTTTTTTTGTCTACAGGACGAATGCTGAATTGGTTGTTATTATAATATATCAAATGAACTTTTGATGGGATTTGATATTACACGGCTCAGTGTTATTTTTCTGTGGCGATAGTAGTTCTTTGACCTCTGCAGTTTCAGGTGTGTCTTGGTCCTCATTTTACTGTAATGAACAAATATAATTGCTTGTTAATTGGTATGGTGATATTTATTAACTGAATACTGATCGATCTTTTTATATGGCGCTATTTGTCACTATGTTACTTAATTTATGAAAATATATTGAAGAATTCGCAAGAACAAAATAACTTCTTACAAAAAAACAACAACAAAAAAAACAACAACAACAAACAACAATGATACGGTGATACAAGTTATGATTAAAGGCACATTGTTCCTCATAAATCCATTGTTTTAATTCTTTAGAAATGTCAAACATGTGTTTGATAATGTTTAAATAATGGATAAAACGTATGATAGTATTTTCTTACAACTGAAAAAGGTAGCACTGAACATTATATTAAGTGATGTGTCGCTAAGGTAGCAAAATGTAAACAAAGTAGTATTTTGACTTCCATACGAAATACTTATTCACTAAAGGTATACCATTTTCCAACAGAACCAAAGATGTAAAAGATAGTTTGAGTATCTAGCAAATGAGTATGTTTTCGGAAACTGTAACAAGATATACCAAAAATAAACAGTATTTTTTTCAAATAAAAATGATAGCATTTAAGAGGCATAATGGACCTTCAAAGAAAAACAAATATTTGAAATCAAACGGTCAGAGATATGAAGGCAAGTGGTGAAAAAAAATATTTACATAAAACAATCTTAGATGCTGGGTTTCAAATCACACCGTCAATGTCGGGACACCTGAGTTAAAGCACCGACGTTTTGTTAGCTAGTTTGATGAAAGAATTCAAGGACTCTGGTCGGACTAGAATTCCATAGCGGTGAGAAGCATGTGTATAAAAATCAGGGACTTTAAACACTCGGCCATGGACGCACTGAATATCTTATTTACTTACTCTATCACAAACATAACATTTTAACAAAACTTTTTGGTTTTATTTATAAAATCTGCCAGTGTATAAAAGAATAAAATTTAATGAAAACTTTGTATACCAGTTCTATGATGGCATTAAATATTAATGTGAAATGGCGAATGTCTTCTCCTTTGCGTTTTTGGTCCAAACTGCAGATACTGAAAAATAAATGATGGTGTTGTAATATTTCCTTCTGCACAGTTATTTCTTTATAAATCTAGTTCTAAAGATAACGGATGTGGGTCCAGTCTAACGTGAAAAAGGGTCAAGTGTAACGTACATTGTTGAGTATCAATATCAATGTCTCATTTAGTTATTTTAAGTTAAGTAATCTTTTATGAAATTATATGAATATGAATACATGTATTATGAAATAATATGAATTATTATTAAAATACTCTCTCGATATTTGTTTTTCTCTGTCACCGTAGACGGAACACACTTGCAAATTTGAAACCAAAAGAATTATAAAATAGTTTCGTCACATTTAAGTAAGCTATTGGAAACTGTGCGTGAAACTTACTATTTTGTTTTCGTGTAACTTACTATCCAGATATTGTTCGTTTTACTTACTAAACACTTACAAAGAACATTTGTAGGCTACAGACCTTCGAACAAAATTTTATATGGAATTCTACAAGAACAGATGTCAATAAAATGATTGATTTGGTGTCTTAAGTGCAAAAAGAAGGCTTATTTTCATTTAGTTTGGTACCAAGTTATATCGCTTCGTGCGAATTACTATGGCTGAATGTGCAATTTTCACACAATTCAAACAATGTTCTCAAAAACCACAAAATGTAGGATAATGCACTTTGTATTGTCATTTAAAGAAAATTAACGCGCATATGATACGCGAGGTTTTGTTTTGATTTAAGAAACGTTTGTCACCTTAATTTAACATAATAAGGTACTTACCGGGGCTCAGCTGTCGCCATTTTCTCGTGGGTATTACTATACAAAGTCACGTGATTCCCCCCCGTGAAACTCAGTGCTTTTCGTTTTCTTTCCATGTTTAAGATTTTTTTTTTCGATTTTTGTTCCTTTTCTTTTTATACTGAATATCTTTTATTATATTTTAAGGGTGACATTTACTTATAAAAGATAAAGATTTCTTTTCATTTCACTCAATCGTTCTTAAAATGTAGGAGCATGTGTGATTATGTTGAATATAAATGAGCCGCGTCACAACAAAACCAACATAATGGGTTTGCGACCAGCATGCGCATCCGCGCAGTCTGATCAGGATCCATGCTGTTCGCTTACAAACCCTATAACAAGTAGAGAAACTGATAGCGAACAGCATGGATCCTGATCAGACTGCTCGGATGCACAGGCTGGTCTGGATCCATGCTGTTTGCAAACCCATTATGTTGGTTTTGTCGTGACGCGGCTCAAATGATCACAATTATTTTACTCGAGCAAAACTGTTCAAGAAAAGACATATAGAATAAAACGAATAACTGTTTAATCTTGGTGACAAAAAGTAATGCTAAAATATCCTAAATAAAAAACTAATACGTACTGCTATAAAGATTCATTTTCACAGCTGTATTAAAATACATACAGCAATAAACGGTACTTTCGGCCGAGTTTTTATCCGTGCCAATAAAAACAAAAATTGAAAATGTGTGATCTTTGTGACAAAAATTAATACTAAAATATCCTAAATAGAAAACTATTACGCACTGCTATAAAAATTCATTTTCACAGCTGTATTGAAGTATACATACAGCAATAAACGGTACTTTCGGCAGAGTTTTTATCCGTGCCAATAAAAACGAAAATTGAAAATGTGTGATCTACACTGGAGCCGCGATATAGCACTCATGTTGGGGTCCATGATCTCAAGACATCGTTGTAACGAGTAACTTTTTACAACGCTCATTGTGTAATTATAGCGAAAATATCGCATTACCCCACCCACCGCCGAAACATATAACGCTTGTTAGTGGAAATGATTGTTTACTTACCTTCCATTGGATATCAGTCCAAGCTTTTTTATATATTATTATTAATTATTTTTTAAAGCATTACTGAATATCTTTGATATAAACATGAAATTTACGAATTAAAAATATAAACCATGAATGTACAATTGTTGATAAATTTCCAGTAAAACAGCGGTGTTAACGTGTGTTATGTGTGGTCATGAAAATTGATACCTAGTGGATGGGACTAAATTAATCGTCTTTCCTGCTGTCTCATGTGAAAAAATCATGCAGTCATCCTCAACAACTTTTTTGCCGATAGATCGAAAGTGCATGCTTTTTAAAATTAATTGTACGCTTGGGTGATTTACTTAACTCTTTGGTGTTTGCATGTTTTAACTAACAGTTTGATACCTGACTGATCAACAGTTCAAAATGAACAAAAGAGCGGATTAACGCTTACCTGTGTATGACTTCACACCTTCTTATCATGAGTGACGTAATTATGACTGTTTATTGCACTCGACTGACACATTGAACAAGCGTTATAGTGGATAAGGTGCGGTATTGATATACATGAAAAAAAAATTATAATCGGCGAAAAATACCTTTTTTTTTGGGGGGAGCCAAGGCATATGAGCGTTCTACTGAGATTAGCGCTATACCGAAGAGCGCTATATCGCGGCTCCAGTGTATTTACGGATAGCCGATATTTTGGAGTTCGTTATAAAAGTGTATTTTTCTGTATTTTTAACTAAATCGGGACTAAGAAATGAGTTCCTTATAAGCGATTATTCCTTATAACCGTGTTCGCTATAACCTTATATATTTATATTAAATAAAGAAGGGCAAAATTCAGGCCAAAAGAAATTGTTCTTTATAACTGGAAATTCGCTATAACTGTGTTCGCTATAAGTGAAGTTTACTGTATATGTTTAGTCTTTAAGTGTGACCTCATACTTGTTCCAGCTCATCACAAATTGTCAAATTCCGTACACATTAAATTATGCAAGTAAGTTAAAAATCTGTGATTGAATGACAAGGATATTGACTGGACATGTCACTATCAATACACCACTATGACATGACATTTAGCATCTAAGTATGAGCTTGACCTTTGGGCTTGTGAACTAAATTTTGTTCACTACAAAAAAATTAATGATTTCTCCATTTAACAGGTTATTTTAGAAATTTTGACAACAGTGTTATTTTCAACATACATGTGGAAACAGATGAAGGAGTGCATCTCCTGACATGGCTCCAACAGCTAGGGCAACAAGGAACTGCAACATGTGGTTGTAGAATACTTTCTGCATAATAGGTATAACAGCCACACCAAGCAACCCAACAAGGGAGATAATAATCACTGCTATTGAACTGAATCCCCATACTGAAATAAAACAAGATTGCATTTATGACAAAAAATGCCATGCCACCACATTACTATAACAGAGGTAGATTTTTTTTTTCTTTACAACTGAACTTTGCCATATTATGCAGTTCAACGATCATTAAAAAGCTCATCCTGAGCAAGCTCAGGTGAGCTAAAAAACAAAATGGTATTAAAGCCTAAACTAGGTTTTCAAATTTGAATAACATCATAAGAACCAAACCTTTTTAAAAAAAAATTTGTAACAGTTATCAGAAGAATAATATTTTGTATAATAATTAATTTTGTATCATGTTAAAAAGATGATTACACATAATCAAATATGTTATATCTTATGTCATTAGATTAGTTATCTTTTATTTCTTAATTTTATAAGTAAAACAATAGCATACCTTTTAAAGGAACATTAGATATATCTACAGTAGCACTTTCTGTACCAGTTGTGTGAGCATGCTCATGGTCACTGTGATCATGGACACTATTATGACTGCCATGGAATCCTGTACGTTTATCATGGAAACTATGACAAGAATCTTCATCTATCTGATACAGAATACTTGGACAAAGTTCCTTAAACACATCTTTAGTTATTACTTCACCTTTGTCAATATCTACTATCTGCAAGAAGTCGTGTGTAGACAGACACTGAAATAAGGTAAAAAAAAACAATAAATATTTAAACACCATAAAAATAATAACAAGCAAATTCATTGAATTTATATCCCCCGCCGAGTACTGGTTATTATTAACACAACAACTGAAGACATAAGGCTTTATTTATATATAAATCATGACATAAACAGTAATATTTGAACTTGATAAATAATCAGGGCAATAACAGAGCCATAATTTTGTGTTAAATAGTAAAATCTGGAAATGCCAATGAGATATATGCATACTACATAATAAATCAAGGGCCATAAAGCTGAGTTATAAGTATCTGACCGAAAAAACAAGGTGACTATATGCACATCTCCTCTTAGTATCCCATAAAGTTTCATTGAATTCCAGCCAGTAGTTGCAAAGAAGTAGCGCGGAAACGATTTTTACTCTATATGCAAACTACATAACTAATCAAGGGTCATAACTCTAAGTTAAAGGGTCTGACTGGAACAAGCCGACAATATGCGCATCTCCTCTTAATATTGATGATTCCCATAAAGTTTCTTTGAATTCCAGCCAGTAGTTGCAGAGAACTACTCCGAAACGATTTTTACTCCATATGCATACTGCATAACTAATCAAGGGCCATAACTCTGAGTTAAAGTGTCTGACCGGAACAAGTCGAGGATATGCGCATCTCCTCTTGGTATTGATATTTCCCATAAAGTTTCGTTGAATTCCAGCCAGTAGTTGCAGAAAACTACTCCGGAAACGATTTTTACTCTATATCAAACTACATAACTAATCAAGGGCCATAACTCTGAGTTAAAGGGTCGGACCAGAACAAGCTGACGATATGCGCATCTCCTCTTGATATTAATGATTCCCATAAAGTTTCGTTGAATTACAGCCAGTAGTTGCAGAGAACTACTCCGGAAAAGATTTTTACTCTATATACATACTACATAACTAATCAAGGGCCATAACTCTGAGTTAAAGAGTCAGACTGGAACAAGCCGACGATATGCTAATCTCCTCTTGATATCGATGATTCCCATAAAGTTTCGTTGAATTCCAGCCAGTAGTTGCAGAGAACTACTCCGGAAACTAAATTCGGACGGACGGATGGATGGACGGACGGACGTACAGACAACGCCAAAACTATATCCCCCTCCCGATTCAATCGGCGGGGGATAATTAAATAAAACAAGAAAAATGGTAATGCCACGAAACCAGGTTTTCAATTATCACCATTGTAAAGAAATAATTAAGTATTTTGTAATAACAGCAGATGGCACTAGAAATCAGTGTCCATAGGACACGGGTGCCCCCACACGCCACCAATTTGTCAATCTTATGTCTCCTAAGGTCAATTTTTTTTTTTGGCTACATCTGCCCAAGGGCAAATACTACAAATACTGAATAAATCCACAAGAGAACCCCAAGGTGCATAAGTACACATGCTGACCAACATTCTTGTAAATTTTCAGGCCTACAGGTCATAAGCTTTTTGAGTTACATGCAACACAAGTTAAATATTGTAAATTTTTACTAAGTCAAGGGCAATAACTCTAAAAATACTAAAAATATCCACAGGAAAATACCCAGGTGCACAATTACACATGCTGAGCAACATTCCTGTAAGGTTTCATGACTCTAGGTCAAAAACTTTTTTGAGTTACATGTGACACAAGTTGAAAAATGGAAATTTTTACTAAGTCATGGGCAAAAATTCTAAAAATATTAAAATATCCACACAAAAATACCCAGGTGCACAACTACACATGACGATCGACATTCCTGTAAGGTTTCATGACACCTAAGGTCAAATATTTTTTGTGTTACGTGCGACACAAGTTAAAAATTGTAAAGTTTTACTTAGTCAAGGGCAATAACTCTAAAAATACTAAAAATATCCACATGAAAATACCCAGATGTACAACTTCACATGCTGAGCAACATTCTTGTAAGGTTTCATGACTCTAGGTCAAATATTTTTTTAGTTACGTGCGACACAAGTTGAAAATTGCAATTTTTTACAGTCAAGGGCAATAACTCTAAAAATACTAAATATATCCACATGAAAATACCCAGGTGCACAAATTCACATGCTGATCAACATTCCTGTAAGGTTTCATGACTCTAGGTCAATTACTTTTTGAGCTACGTGTGACACAAAAAAGGAACGGACGGAAGGACGGACAAGGGTAAATCTAAATCCCCCCTATAGTGGGGGCACAAAAATTAAAATGATATTGACCTTGGTACTAGGATATTAATAATAGTATTTCATTCCTAAATCTAGTTATTGACCGGAAACTGATTTTCTATTTTTAGTAACAGTATTTATGTTGACCCTTAAGGAGGTCCAAAAGCTTTCATAAGTGAGGTCTTGACTCTTTACATAAGCTTAAATAAAGCAAAGTTCATTAAAAAATCTAATGCCAAACTCTAGTTATTGATCAGAAATCAATTTTAAACCAGGGGCTTTTATTTGAACAAATTTGGTAGAAACCAATAAGAAGATGTTTCATGATAAATATCTAAGCTGTAACTCTTTGGGGTTTTTATATGAGATTTTTTAAGTTTTGACTTTATACATTTAGGGAAAAACAATGACCTCCCCCCCCCCCTTCAGAGGGGCCAATTTTAACCCCAGGGCTTCTATTTGAACAAACTTGGTAGACACTCACCAGAAGATATTTCATGCTGAGTATCTAAACCCTAGCTCTTTGGGTTTTTTAAAAGAAGATTTTTTTAAGTTTTTACTTTACAAATATAAGGAAAATCAATGCCCCCTTGGGCGGGGCCAATTTTAATCCAAGGGCCCTTATTTGAACAAACTTGGTAGACACCCATTAGAAGATGTTTCATGCTTAATATCTTAGCTCTAGCTCTTTGGGGTTTTTAAAAGAAGATTTTTAAAGTTTTTACTATATACATAAAGGAAAGAACAATGACCCCCTTGGGCGGAGCCAATTTTTACCCCAGGGCTTTTATTTGAGCAAAATTGGTAGACACTGACTAGATGATGTATCATGCCAAATATTTAAGCTCTAGCCCTTTTGGTTTTCTTAAAGAAGATATTTTAAGTTTTTTCTTTCTTCTGCTTGGAATTAAATTCTTTGAACAATCTTTAAAGTTGACTACCAAAGAAACTTTCCTGTGAAGTTTGGATGAAATTGGCTGAGTGGTTTATGAGGAGATGTCATTTAAAGTAAAAGTTAGACTTTTTATTATGAGATGAAGAGCTTTTAACATTTGACCTTTAAGCGTGACTTTGACCTTGGGGGTAGCAACCTAATTATTGCGCTCTGCACATCATCTCATTATGATTATGATGATTACTTGTGCCAATTTATTTCAATTTTTTTTTTGCAGTGCTTTAAAAGATATGGAGCGGACACAAGTGTTCCCTTGGGGAGCATTAAAAAACAAATTTGAAGTTACTATACATGAACTTTAAAACAATGGAAAGATAGTTAACTAAATTATTTATATTTGAAAGTCGAAAAGCCTATTGTTTACACTAAATGTAAATTTGTAAAATAACAAGATGTTTATACTTCTGAAGTATCTGTTTCTCTCTTTTGAACACTATGGTTGTGATCATGTTTGCTAGTATCATTATGATCATCGCTGTGGTCATGATCATTGCTGTGGTCATGATCATGTGAGTGGTCATGATCACCTGAGTGGTCATGTTCATCGGAGTGGTCATGTTCTTCTGTGTGGTCATGATCATCGCTGTGGTCATGATCATCTGTGTGGTTATGATCACCTGAGTGGTAATGATCATCTGAGTGGTCATGTTCTTCTGTGTGATCATGTTCATCTATGTGGTCATGATCATGTGAGTGGTCATGATCATGTGAGTGGTCATGTTCATCATTGTGGTCATGTTCTTCTATGTGGTCATGATCATGTGAATGGTCATGTTCTTCTGTGTGGTTATGTTCTTCTGTGTGATCATGTTCTTCTGTGTGATCATGTTCATGTGAGTGGTCATGTTCATCTGTGTGGTTATGTTCTTCTGTGTGGTCATGTTCATCTATGTGGTCATGATCTTGTGAGTGGTCATGTTTATTGGAGTGGTCATGATCATCTATGTGGTCATGATCATGTGAATGGTCATGTTCATCTGTGTGGTTATGTTCTTCTGTGTGATCATGTTCATCTATGTGGTCAAGATCATGTGAGTGGTCATGATCATGTGAGTGGTCATGATCTTCTGTGTGGTCATGTTCTTCTGTGTGGTCATGTTCTTCTGTGTGGTCATGTTCTTCTTTGTGGTCATGATCATCTGTGTGATCATGTTCTTCTGTGTGATCATGTTCATGTGAGTGGTCATGTTCATCTGTGTGGTTATGTTCTTCTGTGTGGTCATGTTCATCTATGTGGTCATGATCTTGTGAGTGGTCATGTTTATTGGAGTGGTCATGATCATCTATGTGGTCATGATCATGTGAATGGTCATGTTCTTCTGTGTGGTCATGTTCTTCTGTGTGGTCATGATCATCTGTGTGGTCATGTTCTTCTGTGTGGTCATGTTCATCTATGTGGTCATGATCACCTGTGTGGTCATGTTTATTGGAGTGGTCATGATCATCTGGGTGGTCATGATCAAACTTAAAAATGCCACCAAGACCAAGGTTGTGTAACATGTGTTCAAATCCCTCAAAAGTTATCTCTCTTCCATTTCCATATTTTGTCATCAATTTCATCAAAAAGAAGTCTTTCTCCATGAAATAAAATTCTTTTGAATCTTCAGTGGCATCAATGCTGTCTGTAAGTTTAGATATCTGAGCACTTATGTTTGGTGTGTCAGCTTTTGCCTGCCAACCATAATACAGTAAGCACATCAGGCAAACACATGGACCACTTGAAACACACATGGTGTAGATCTGTAAAAAAGCATCTATGATAATTATTTTTGTATGAATAAACATGTATTTCCTAACAACTCCTACAAATTAATGGCATCTAGGATGCAATGGTATACCATTGAAATTGATGGCCCTGAATCACTCATCTGACATACAATGCTAGAAATAGTCACAATTCTTCTGAACCAGGTGATGCTCCATGAGGGGGTTTTGGACACAGGAAAGTATAAAAAAAATGAACAAAGGGCAAAAACTCCAAAATTAGGCAATGTAGAGTTATGGTTTTTGCACTGCACTTCTATTCAATGAGATCTATCTATCTAGAAAGTTTCGTGTTGATATCTCTTATAGTTTCAGAGTTATGTCCCGGGTAAAATTCAAAGTGTAAAAATGAACAAAGGGCAATAACACCAAAATTGGTCAAGGTTGTGTTTAGTTTCTTAAGCATTGCAGTTCTATCAAATGAGATCTATCTACCTACAAAGTTTCATGTTGATACCTCTTATAGTTTAAGAGTTATGACTTGGACAAAGTTCAAAGTGTAAAAATAAACAAACGCAACAAGGCAGTCTGAAGGACAGCTAAATCCCCTTCCGCAGTGAACATGATGTGTACTTCTTGACCTTTTACCAATCATGACCTTGATGTTGTGTCATGCTTATCATAAGCACATAGTCTCACGATGGTGATTATTTGTGCCAAGTTATTTAAAATCTTCCATAAAGTCAAAAAGTTATGGAGAACATAATTTATAACCTTGACCTTGGGTGTATTAACCTGGATGTCCCGCTCTGCAGATTGTGTCATGGAGGGGATCATTTTTCGCAAAGTAATTTTAAAACCTTTGAATTTTCAATAAGTTATAGAGCTGACATGTGACATGAATAGATGATTGTACATTGGACCTTTGAGTGTGACCCTGACCTTCCGGGTAGTGATTTGATTATTGTGCTTTGCCAATGGTGTCATAATGGTGATCATTTCTGCCAAGTTATCATAAAAAAACTGCATCAGTTTAAATGTTATGGACAGACACGAAATGTAGACTTTCTAACATTTGACCTGTAAATGTGACCTTGACCTTGGGGGTAGCAATTCAATTATTATGCTCTGCACATCATCTCATAATGGTGATCACTTGTGCCAAGTTATTTTTAAAAAATTTCAGTGGATTAATTTGTTAAGTGTAGAGTAAGCACGGATGCAATATAAATCCGTGGAGTAATTATTAGTCCTAAAATATTTACAAAGTTAGTTATTAAAAAAAATTATTTCATTATTTTTTCCCTTGATTTACTAGTATAGTTAACAGTACCTGAAAGAAAACATCATAAGTTAAAGCATTTTCATGTTTAGGAAAATATATTTTTGAATTTACATCAAATAAAGACATGTCAAATAGACCAAGGTTTTTTCACAATTAATATTTCTTTGTTTATTGATTGCTTTTACTTATTTGTTCATCACGTTTGAATAAATGCATACATTCACACATAATTATTTATGTTTATTTACTACATGCTTTACGGTGGTTTATAGTAATATAAAATTATCAGTGATATAAAACTGATAATTTCACTGTTTTAAACAGTAAAATTATCAGTTTGATAGTATCATAGTGCCACATCATTTTGATGATTTTTTTCTAATGGTACTTTTTCATGGCCAAAAATCTACTGGCCCGTCCGACCACCAACCTTGCAATAATCACCGGACCGATGCTAAATTTAGTGGCCTCGGACTGGCGCTTATTTCGAAGACTGTAAAAGCCTTAAATGGTACAATTAAATTACTGACAAATTATAGCCTATTAATGTTTTCAATAACTTTATTATATGGTAAATCATCAGTTCTTCATTAGGTAAAGCTTTATTTATTTGTAAATATGAAATTATATATAGATTTTTTTGAAAACCTTTTTTAATGTGTGTAATAAATAATTATATCATTTATAGACAAAAGGGAAAATGAAAGAAGCAAAATATTGTCTAAAACATAATAATATAATTTAATAAAATATTCTCTGAAAATCAATTTTGGGGCCAGATTGACCGATTTTGGGGCCGGGTTAACCAATTTTTAGGGCCGCCCCGCTTAACCCATTTTAGGGCCGCATTGACCAAATAAAACTAATGTGGGGCCGGATTGACAAATTTTGGGGCCGGATTGACTTGAGGCCAGCTTTACTTCGGGCCGGGTTGACTGTAATTCCAATATACTTTCCCACACTGATGTTTAATAGATTTCTTTCATACAAACACGGCACATTTAGCCGATTTTATCCAATTGACTACTTTGTAAGCCAACATTGCTGAAACGAGCATTTCTTACCCATTTTACCCATTTTAAAGCATGATCACAAAATATGGATTCCATACGGGCGCAGCCATTATTAGTGACATCACTAAAAGTTTAATAGTCGGATACCCGTGTCCAGTCAATTAATTTATCTTGTCTGCTGACAATCCCGATTGTATGAAAAAAGTAAAAAATTGTCAATAAAATTTTTAAACAAGAATTTGTAACAGAGTTACTAATGTCCCCCGCCTCTGTCAGTTTTATATGAAGCATAAAATTGTGCTATTTCAAAAGATTGAGGTATGGATCTCAGGACATTCAGTCCAAAATTATGATCAATGCTAGATCTGCAAAATTAATGCAACAATAAATTTGTTAAAAAAATAAAATGAAACACGGAATTTAAAAATCTATCATGTTAAGCTTTGACCTCTAAGTGTAACCTTGACCTTGGAGGTAGGGATGCAGGTGTTGTGCATGACATAACGTCATATTATTGAGACTATTTGTGCCAAGTATTTTCAAAATCCCTTGAACTATGAAGAAGTTATAGATTGGACACAAAATATACCCTATAACAGACTATGTAAATCTTTGACTTCTAAGTGTGACCTTGACCTTGGAGGTAGGGACACAGATGTTACGCATGATAAATCATCTAATCATTGTGACCATTTGTGCCAAGTCTTTTCAAAATCCCTTAATTAATCTATGAAGAAGTAATGGACGGGACACAAAATATACCAAACAACAGACTCTGTTAACCTTTGACCTATAAGTGTGACCTTGACCTTGGAGGTGGGGGTGCAGGTGTTGTACTTGACATATCGTCTTATTATTGTGACTATTTGTGCCAAGTTATTTTAAAATCCCTTGAACTATGAAGAAGTTTTAGATCCGACACAAAATATACCCTATAACAGACTATGTTAATTTTTGACCTCTTAGTGTGACCTTGACCTTGGAGGTAGGGATGCAGGTGTTGCGCATGACACATCCTCTTATTATAGTGGCTATTTGTGCGAAGTATTTTCAAAATCCTTTGATCTATGAACCGGACACAAAATATACCCTGTAACAGACTATGTAAGTATTTGACCTCCAAGTGTGACCTTGACCTTGAAAGTAGGTGACTGGTTTTTGCGCATGACACATCGTCTGATTATTGTGAACAATTATGGCAAGTACTTACAAAATCCCTTCATAGATAAGAAAGTTATGGACCGGACACGACATATACCATCAAATAGACAATGTTGACCTTGAATGAGCAAGTGCGACCTTGACCCTGGAGGTTGGGGTCTGGTTGTTGCGCAGGACACATCGTCTTATTATAATAAACATTTGTGCCAAGTTATTTCAAATTCCTTTCATAAATGTCAAAGTTATGGACCGGACACGAAAGTGTGACAGACGGACGGACGGCGACTATATGCTCCCCCGAAATTTTTCGGGGAGCTTAAAAAATCATATGTACTCTTTAAGTTGAATTGTGTAATTCATATATATAATTCATTGATGATGTGAATGTTTTTATGTTTACTATTATACATTGTGCAGTACAAATGGCTTATCAACGCTTATCAAGGAAATAAAAGTGAAAGGTGCATACTTGTTTAGATTCATTTGAAGTATAACCCAAGTTCCTGAACACTGTGAGGTGTGAAAAAAGATAGTAATCAGTCTGGTCTATAAATCTTTGTCAAATTGATGACATCTGGCTTCTTCTTTAACGAAATAATTGATTATCACAGAACGTAATATCATATACAGCAGATGAATTGTGAAAATTGTGACATCATTATCGTCAGCGACGACGAAACTGATATCCATACATGTACATTAACACCAGTTACCAGTATAAATAGACAATCAAAAACAAAGGCATTTTTCCTTAGAAATCATTACATTAAATAAACAAGAAACACATGGCAATGCCATGAAACCAGGTTTGCAATTAATTATTAATCACCATTGTATATAAATATGTTGTAGTTGAAATACAAATACAAGCAACAAACAATGTAACTATGTGCAATGTAAATCATGAATAATGAATTTTCTATTTTTAGTAACTGTAACCTTGACCCTAGAAGGCCAAAAAGCCATCCCAAGTGAGGTCTTTATAAAAACTTGCTTTACACCAAAGTTCATAAAAATATCTTATTCCAAACTAGTTATTGACCGGAAACCTATTTTCTATTTTTAGTAACAGTGACCTGACTGGAAACAGATTTTCTATTTTTAGCAACATTGACCTTGACCTTGACACTATAGGACCCAAAAGCAGGCAGATGAGCTGGCAGGCATGCAACAACCTAGAGAGTTTCTTTTTTATAACTAAAAAAAGTTTGTTGTGATTAAAAGGATATATTACACTTTTAATTAAATTTTATGGAAAAAACAAAGGGCCAGGAAAAGTTATATTTAATTTTCATACAACACAGCGGTATGTAACATAGTCAACTACGAGACCACACTTTTATGTTAATTAATTAATTACTTTAATCAGTTAAGTGATACTTTTAAACATATGTACTACAATTATTTTTAACTTCTATAGATACATACATGTACTATGTATTTTAAGAGTTGTTATACATGTATATATACATATAAGGTATATGTTGTTTATATTGGGACTGAAGCAAGTAGATTTTGACATTTGAATTGTCTATCTAAGCATCACATGATGTAATTGCACTCGATTGGTATTTAAT